CAGTCTTTTGCCCAACACATTTTATTGCCAATAGCAGCAAAGCAGTATCTGTTCACACAAAATACAGGTACTGCTAAACTGAAGAAACCTCACAACCCATCAGATCTCAGAGTAATTAGTATGTAGACATGGAAATTCTTAATAACATGTTAACTATTGTTGGAAAGATAATTTGTGGGAGTTTTCGAGCTCACTGGCTGGCACTGTTGAAAAGGCAAAAAGTTCTAAGCCGTTCTTTGCACACCATCCAATTTTTAATGCAATAAATCAGCTAGAAGTAGAGCCAAACTAAAACATTTCTGCCATTTTATGCACCATGGAAACAAGAAACCTGCCAATCTGCAATTACCTATTCTACATCTATTTGAGATCAATTTCTGCTGTGGGAGTATGGCCAACAGGATCAGATCTACAACCTCTGTTTGTCATGGGAGATAGACATAATTTATTTTTTGTTTTGCTCTCAAATAAGAACAAATATTAAAACATAAATCAGACTGATGTCAGGGTGTGTTAAACTGCATTACAATCTAATAAAGAGTATAAACTTTTTTCCTCATGTAATTTCTTACATCACTGTCAACAAGAGGATATAAAAATATTCAAAGTGTTCATCTATAAATTCCACTGTGATAAAACTGCACACTTATTTGCTAAGTGATGTCATATATTCAGATTTTCTTCTATAGCTGAAATACTGCTTGCTTGAGCCCTATGAAAGCTATTTATTTTTAACAGCTCATACTAATTTCGTATTTTTTCCCCATAAATTAAACACTGACACTTTTTAAATTAGAGACAATTTGTCTGATGGATTAGCTTAGCTTGAACATTTATTCTGTTTAATTCAGAGCTTTTGTACTTCTCAAATGCTGGTACTCACTTCTGAAATTCTCAAAAATACATTTTAAAATCCTCAGTATAAAAAGTTCTTAAAAGAACTCATGTGCTTCAATATCATGTGCATCACGTTATCCCTTTCAGTGGGATTCCCCAAAGTCGTGCAAAGCTTAAGTGCTTTTCTGTGTCAGGTTTGAAACTTTCATGTTATTAAGTGTGCTCCAAGCAGAATTCATGGTTATGACTGCCTACAGTGCTCATGGCAGCTCTCTCAGCTTTGACTCAAACCATTAAAACAGAATGAGAAGTAAGAGCACAGTTTCAGTATCTCCAGCATTACAAAAGGTAGGCAAAGCCAGGTGAGGTGGTGTGGACAGGGAATGTTTAGATCCTCCTCCTAGGCACAAGAAGATTCAGCAATGCAGGTGATACGTAACTCTGCTTCTTTGAAAGAGGGTAGTAGTTGAATGTGCAACTAATTCGCCTCAAATGTTACCTCCAGTATCTCTGATTTCACCAGCATCCCAGGCAGCAAACTGCAGGCAAAGAGCAGACATATCTGTACAACTGAACACACTGTCACTGTATTTACGCACTGAAATAGGAGTGAAAACTCTTTCCCAAAATCCATGTGACGGTGTGTCTTCATCTGTGGCGCAAAGAGGTTCTGTGAGGCCTGATTACAAATTGCTACCCAGAACAAGTACTAATCATTTACCAGAGAAAACCATCATTGCCGACCAGTACCTCTCCATAGATTTTCACAGCAGAATCAAGCCACTTTCTGGGGACACTTGTTATTCACAACCAGTTATATGGCTCCATAGAGGTGTAAGTAGGTGAAGTAGGAGCTCAGACTATTTAATAAATTTCCCTTTGGATTAAAATTCATTACTTATTAATTACATTTTAAATATGCGCTATCTGACACAAAGAATATGGTCTTTGAAATACTCTAATACTGATCAATTACGTAACATTTCCATAATGATACAGGAACACTGAGCATTTTCTCCTTTATGTACTTTCATGTGATTTTTTAAATTCCAGATGGAGAATAATTTGTCTTCAGTCTACTTCTACTTGAGGCACTACTAGTCTGACATTTTGCTTTCATGTCCTAGCAACATCAGCGTTGAGATCAGAGGTATTAAAACTTAGAAAATCTGACATGCTATGTCAAATGACAAAGACAGTATCTGAGAGCAAACGGAAGAACAGACAGACTAAATTAAGTAGCAGAAAAGGGGAAAGAAACAGAATGATAGGAGGCAAGATAGGGACAAAAAATGAAAGATTAAACAAATATTCTAGCATGATCAGATAGGTGTAAAGAAAAAATATTAAATTTCGTTGAAAGCACAAATGTAGAGATATAAATTCAGACATAAAACATGTAGCTACATATAGTATGGGCATGGTCCCATTAACACGCACATAGAAGGCTTTATTTACAACATTTGCATAACCTAGGGGGTAATACTCATGTAAGTAGTGTGTACAAGAGGTAGCAGGGTTTGGCCTTTCACTGTTCTTCCTTGTGTACTTCATGTATATCTGTAAAACATTTGAGCAGGCATTTCAGCTTCGAAGAAGACAGAGCTAGGAAATAATAGGACCTAAAGGAAACCTTTCCATGAAAGCTGGTTCTGCAAGGCACCAAGAGGAATACCCTAAGGACTAACTATTTGACAATACAACTAATGCTATTACTTTGAAGCATAATAAAGTTTAAATTGCAGCTTGCATAGATGTGGAGTACTTGCTGGAGGAAAGCGAAATCAATATGTGAATCCAGAATCAGTGAATCCTAATTAACCCTCTAACTGCTATCAGCAGGAAGGCTAATAGCAACTCTGAAGTAGTGTAAGTGACTTAATCCTAAGGGATTGCTTCTGTTAACGAGACACTGACTGTTAGCTCTCCTCAGCCATGTTTACAGTAATGAGGCAGCTTTGTAGGGCAATAAGCAATTGGTTTGCCTAATAACAGGCTGGGATTCTCATGAGTGACAGAAGTTACTGTCCCTGTGACACAAGTTATCATCCTCATTCTACAGATAAGAAACTGAAGTCCAGTATGTCACTTTCCATGATCCACTGGTTGGGCCAGGAATGGAGTTTATGGGTCAAGGTCGTTTAGGATGACACTACAATTCTCCTCTAGAAGGTGACATCTGATGGTCTACTGGGAACAGTGTTTTATAGGATGTTAAAAAACATGAAGCATAAAAAAAAAACCCAAGAGAGTCTGTCTTTAGTAATACAGTAATTAAACTTCTTACAAAGTATTCTTATTTTGAAACTACAAAAAAAAAGGTGTCAAAAGTCTTTAATCAAGCAATCAAAAACTCATGACCTTTCTTCTCCAACAGTTTATGGCTGTGGCTTGACAAAATGGCACAGAATCTCCATATTATACATATGGATACCCAAAATATATGGAGACAGGCTTCCCAATACTACTTTCATCTCAGATGGTTCAGCAGACTTCTAGACTATTATCCTATCATTTCTATTTGCCTCTGCCAGTAGTGTGGCTCAGTTTCATTTGCACCACTAGAAAGATGCAAAAGATAGGCTTCAACAAGACTAAACAAAAATTAAAACCAGTATTAAAATAAAAAAAACAAAAAAAACCAAAAAACTTTAAGAGCAGTCCTCAAGGAAGCTACACGTCTTATTAATTTCTTCAAGATATCTATGTTGCAAAGTGCAGCTAGAAATACTTCTACCAAAAACAAATTACACGTTTAGCACCATCCGCAGCAACCATTTACACAAGACTTTTCTGCAGCATACATTATTTCCTAAAAAAAAAAAAATCCATTGATTACATTATTTGAATTACAATGTTCAGACTTTGTAAACTATTGCAACACACTCAAGTTTAGTTACAGAAAGGACAGATTTTAAAAGTCACACTATTGTGGGCTTTACAGAAAATATGTTTGCCTTGAAATGATACTTGAATATTCTTGAAGAAGGAATTACCTTTAGCCTATTAAATAGAATTTCTGGCAACAGTCCCTAAAGTAGAACACAGTGGCATCTAAAAATAAGCCGTGGTGCTATCAGCAGCACAGATTACTTTTTTTCTGTCAGAGGAGCCCAGTGCATCCAGAAAAAAGTGCAAGGGGCCAAAAAGGTTCAGCCACCCCAGCTGCCCTGGCAGTCATCTCATGCCATGACAAGGGAGTCGGCGTTGTGGTGGAAGCACCACCATAAGGCTGCCAGCACTAACAGACAGCTGGTGGCATCCCCTGTGGCAGGGAGCACTACAGGGCAGCCCCCTGCCCTGAGGTGGAGGCAGTGGTGTGGCCACCCTGAATGGGATGGGAAGTCAGGGGCTGTACTTCTGTTTGTGTAAATACACACGTGTGCTTTCATGTACACGTACGTACATACACACATGCATGCACACACGTGCACGCACAGATATGTATGCACGCACATTATCTAAAATCACAGAATGAGCTGAGTAGGAAGGAACAAAGATCACCGAGTCAAACTCCTGGTCCTGCACAGCATCACACCAAGGGCCTGAGAGCGTTGTTCAAGCACTTCTTGAACTCTGTCAGACTTGCTGCTGTGACCACTTCCCTGGAGAGCCTGTTCCAGTGACCAGCCACTCTCTGGGTGAAGAACATTTTCCTAATACCCAACTTAAACCTGCCCTGGCACAACTCCAGGCCATTCCCTTGGAGCCTGTCACTGGTCACCAGAGGAAAGATGCCAGTGTCTGTCTCACCTCTTCCCCTCATGAGGAAGCCGAAGACCTCAATACACGCCCACACACGCACTCACACGTATATACATACACACGTGTGTGTTTATATGTATGTATGTACGCAGCTGAGTATATATATATATACATATATATATATGTGTGTGTGTGTGTGGTGTGTGTGTGGTGTGGGTGTGTGTGTCTACGTCCCCCGATGAGCGTCCGTGCACCGCCCTCGCCCCAGCCTCGGCCAAGGCTGCCCGCGCAGCCGCCACCCCGCCCGCCGCCCGAGGGCTGAGGCGGGCGGGCGGGCGTCACTCGAGGGCGCCCGGCTCCCAGGCCGTCCTCACACTCCGCCGGGCGGGGAGCCCCGGCCCCGGCCCCGGCCCCGGCCCCGGCCCCGGCCCCGGCCCCGGCCCCGGCCCCGGCCTTACCGTTGTCCTTCCCCTCCTTCTTCGCCATGGCCGCAGCGCCGTGCTGTCGCCATGGCGACGCGGGCCTGCTCGGGCCCTCTCCTCACACCCCGGGTGTCGGGCGGCGCTCCCGCTGTGCTGAAGGGGCGGAAAATGTGCCCGAGCCCCTCGTAGGGGCCCCACTGCGCCCCACCGTCCTTCCAGGCAGGGATCGAGGGAACCTCTTCAACCTGCCACTTCAAAGGCCTCCCTTTCTCTTAAAAATACAGCTTTCTCCAGCAATCGCGTAGATTTCCATGTATCTGAGCTTTAGAAAGTGAAAGAACATTTTCTTCTAAATGCTATCACGCCAAAACAGCTAAAATATTCTTAGTGATATTAAATAAAACTGTGCGGTTTAAATTTAGCTGTGTGTTTTAGCAGACAGGCTTGCGATGCCTGCTTCTTCTGACTCTAAAACAACTTGAACGTAGAAAAAAATACAAATATTAATATTCTGGAAAGATGCAACCATATATTCCTAGAAAATAAATATTTATGAAATTCCTAGAACTAAAACCTTGACCTCACTACAGAAGGTGCTTGTTTGTCAGATGTTCAGTTTTGCAAAGCCCTTATGGATGACTCCTCATGTACAATTTCATTTCTCAAACAGTTAATGATGTTCTTAGTATTCATGGAAGCCTGAAATTCCAAAAAACACATGGAGTACAAACAGGGCTACCTTGATTAAAAAAAAAAAAAACAAACACTTTTTTTATAACATTTTAACATTTGCTATTTACCTTTCAGACACTTATTTTTGCATTTTTTTACTGAACGTGGCTCAGAGTAAAGAGGGTATAATAGGTACCCAAGACAATACATCTTTACTCTGTTGGGAAAAGAGCTGATTATGTTCTCTAACAAAGCTGATACCTTTGAAAGGTTATCTACTGACTTGAGCAGTTTATTAAAGTAACTAAATATTTCAAACTGCATGTTTGACTACAGGAGGAGTACAGATTTGTTTCCTCTCAAATTGTTAACAGAAATTTTGGTGAGAAGAGCATGGCAGACAAATTTAGAGGATACAGCGGCAGAAGAAAAAGGCTTTATCTTTCAGTCTCACAGGGGTCCTACTTCTTATTCTCTTAACCCCTCCACACAGAAAACTTGTCTTTCCTGATTGTAGGTCTGTGGTGGTGGGTCAGTCACATGTTTGAAGCTGAAGAAGAGTGCAAAATACATTGTTTTGGCCAGGATGGACCGCTCTTATCTCTTCCCTCCCCTACCCCAAATGTAGAATTTCATGTTCTTGAATACTGTGCCCAGCATTAGATTTCTTATATTATTTTCCAAATCATTCATCATACGACACTTACAGCTCTTCTACTAATGCTACACTAATTCAAAATATTTACTATATATCCCTAAAAAAGCCTAATAAAATCCCATTCTAGTTGTTCAGGTTTTCATGACAAATCCGTGCCCAAAATATGAACAACTCTTAGTTTTAAAATAAATACAGGTATCACATGTTGTGCATATTTACTGAGATTATTGTGTGTTTATAGCAGACTTTGAATGGAAGATAGTCACTGAAACTGTGGCACGATAAGACAGTAACTCCAGTCAGGCATCCACCTTTAACATCTTCCCAGCAACTTCTCCAGGGCTTTCACATCGCTTTCCTCACAACCCCTTCCTATTTGACAGGTGCTAATCTTTGTTTGGATGGTAAGAAAAGCAGTGTGTAAATGCCAATGAAGAAAGGGGAAATTGTGAAGTATGTCATAGGTATGACATTTACACCATAACATCTACGTCCTGTTGTAGCTGCTGACTCTGGCCCTCATGAGCTGCTAGAATAGCTCCTTGGGGAAAGTGTTGTTATGAGCATATAAAGGCCTTGCTCAAATCCTGGATGTTTGTATCAGACTTGCTAAGTTTGATAACTTTAGCCTAGCTGAAGAATCTTCAGTGACTCAGAGCTCATACAAATTTCAGTAAACAGCATTTTGCACTGTCCTGCCTGTGCTGTTGAGATTCCACTCAGGACAATTACTGTAAATCAAAGTGCTTCATTTGTACTGTCTGCTCTAGCCTGGAGTTTCCTTTTGCTTCCAGTAGCTCACCGCCAAGCATCCTTATTCTCCCAATTCCTAACACATTGGGCTTTGGTGTCTTGCCTGTCTCCAGAAGCAGAACAAAATATGAATGAGAAAGCACTTCAAAATGAGAATTCACTGCTTTAAAATTTCCTGGCAATGTATCTTGAAAAATCTGTGTAGGGAAAAAAAATGTTAACAATTATAATGCAGATGAAATATTGGACCTGAACCATATAGCTGGTTCCCTTTTAACTTAATGCACAGATATCTCAAACCAAGGCTATGAGTGGGCTGAAACAACTAATCACATTTTGGCACAGACAAGTACAAAAGGAAACCCAGAACTACTAATTCAACAGCTTGAAATATCAGCTGCTGCATGCAAGATCTTTACAGAGCTCCTCTGAAGAGAACATACCCTTTTAAAATTGTGATTTTTCATTTTAAAAATGTCAGAAAATATCTCAGGAAAATTATGGAAGAATCCAGCATTATTGATATAAAGCGTGAATCCACTGAAGTCTCATCGACATAAGGTTCCCTTACCTCCACGCCTAATTTCATCACATACATTCCTCTCAGCTATCAGGGTCCTATCACACATTTTGCATATTTTCCGTGCATATGTTCAGAAATGTTATTCAGCAATAAAAAACAGGTCAAAAATGGGAGAAGTGAAGTAAGAGAGAGCCATTCAAGGAGGTATAATAACATCCTACAAAGCTGTGTGCCCCCATGGCTTCAGGGCTGCAATCATCTCAACATATCTTTGCTCCAAACATTTGCCAAAGACCTTCTCTATAGACTCCCTCTGTAGGTCCTTGAGGACCATATAACTGAAGGCGCAAAGAAGCATATTCATTTGTTCTTCACAGAGAAAGTAGGTGGATAACTATGATTCTGTGACAGGACTCTTACCTACAGCTCCTCTGCAGCTAAAGGGGTACAGCTGTTCAGTAGTTTTCATGTCACTTTACCCTTTTTCACTAATGTGACATGAATGACCCAAGTGTACCTTCATTCCGCTCTTCCTCTGGGATCAGCAGCTGATTTCAGTGACTCAGACTCTTCAAAACAGAGTATTATCTAAACAATAGCTGTTCACCCAAATAATACACAGTAACCAGATAAAAATGAGAAAACGTCTCCATCCTTCCTTGTCTATACTGTATCTTTCCCTACAGAATTTAGGTAAATTACACTTGAGAGCAGCTACCTTGTTCCTTAGTGTGTAGGAGGGGAAGACAGCTTCTTTTCTGGCTTGTTCTCTTTGTAACTGCAGGCTTTGATCCTATGCTTAGACTAGATGAAGAGAAGCCTAACAGAGTGGGCAGAGACAGACATACAGGCATGCCGTCCATTATCTCCTCTACCACTGACCTCTTCCTGGCTGCTAGTATATTAACCTTATCTGTCATAATTTTGCTTTCTTTCAAAAAAATAATTCTTCCTGTTCTCATCTATGGAACAGCAAAAAGTACATAAATTTACAAGGGATTTCCTTTACTTTTCATACAGGTCATAAACCTAGAAGCCCAGAATCTGACCTCTTAAATAAAATGGCAGTGTATGATGCCTTGACACATATGGAGTTCACCAGAGCTGAAAGGGGAAAATCCAGGTCTTGCATTTCCTTTCCTCCTGCTGGCTGCACATCTTCCTTCTACTTTGTGCTGGCTCTGCCATTCACTGAGCAAATCTGAGTCACAGAGGTAGTAAAAATACAATCCATCAAAAAGTGAATAGTGTTCTGCCCTATTAAGAAACTCAGAAAAAGTTCTGGCAGGCATCTCAATCAGCACATCCAGGAAGTTGGACCCTGCAACTAGAAGAGAGGAAGAAATAGAGGGGAAGGCAGGAAGGATGAGATATTCTTCTGGAGGGAAAAAGCTCAGTGGCTGTCTGAGTCCATAAGAAAAACTGAACTGAAACGGAAAGAAACTGGAGGAAGAAAGGGGGAAAATCAGGTTTGAAGGCTGCTGATAATAGCAGCATCTCAAGCCCTTCTCAGTCCATGAGATGGCTTTTGGAACTGTCCTGGCAAATATCTCTTACTGCTCATGTAAAGCTACAGTCCTATGGATCTTTAGCTCCTCCTGTCCAGCTTCAACAAAGCTGCATTTGAGGAAAAGTGACTGAACATACATTAAAAATGAGTTGCTAGGAAAAAGGAAGCATTTCTTTACTGCAGCAATATTCTTCAATGTCATGGAGCTACTGGCAGTGCTCAGCCTCTGGGACTATGCCTAAAGAGCTGCAGCAGAAAAAGGTTCTTTCTTTTATATGTAAGTGTCAGGATACTATTCCCCATCCCACCCAGGCACAGAAATGGCCCTAGAGATCCATATATTTTAACCTTCAGACTTTATTACCATTAATTATATCTGGAAGTGAAGCCAGGATCCCCAAGAACACAGTAGCAGGAACAAAACACAATCATCCATCTGCCTAGCAACATGGGTTGCCATGAGTACTTCTCCCTGTGCTCCACAGGCAACAGGGGCTCACCACTGAATGCCAAGCCAAGCTCAAGGGCCCCGTACTGGTAAAGAAAGCCTGCTTCCTCAGATGATGACCTTGCATTCCATCTCCAAGACCTTCCTCTGGAGCCTAGAATGTGTCAGCCAGCAGCCTGAAATTTACAAATGAGGGACTTCTGGAGTACTGAGACAATGCCAGTGGAATTGCTCTTGCAAGAAGCAAAAGCTTTATGTTGGGAACATCAATACCATTAAAGCTCCATTCTTCCCTTCTCTGTTCTTTTGAGAAAGGTCTTTCCATGTTTTAATACTATACCCAAAAAATCCCCGATAACATACTACCAAATCACTGACTTTTCACTCTTTTGAGGAAAATAAGAAAAACCTGTGAGTGGTACTGAAGACATGGAAATACTTTACAACATCCCTAGCTCAGGAGATCTTTGAATCACAAGCTATTTGTAGGAGGTTGAGAG